TAAAAACTATAAAAAAAACTATAAACTAAACTGAAACGAGCAAACCCAACCTGATAATTAACTGAAACTAAACTGAAGACAAAAATTACATACAAAAATAAAAACTAATGAAAAATACAAAACTATAATAACTCTGGTGTGTGAGACAGACAGTGAGAGTGAGACAGTGAGAAAAAGCCATACTGTCCAGGAAGTTGTGCCTGTGAGGCTGATTTGTGTTGAATGTGGTTTGGCTCACGTTCAACACATTTCTCAAACTCTCCTGGACATACTTTTATTTTCTGTCGTACTTCATTTTTGTGGAAATAAAAACCATCAAATTATCTGCATATGTTGTAGCTGAGAATCACCACTTGACCCCACATCAGAGCCAGTATCAGTCAGGACCTGTATTATTGTATTATTGTCTTTATGATTAAAAACAAAAGCCAGCAGACTTTAGTCTAACTGAGAACTAACTGTTACTAACTTAAGAGGAAAAAGAGAAATAAAGGCACATTCAATGTACCATTATCTTGTAATTCCTACTGCTATGGCTCAGAAAAGGCTACATAGTCATACTTTGAGTCGAGTCAGACAATCTGACTCAGGTACAAACTGTTTATATAACTGTGTCTGCTTTGCCCACACTCAGGAAACATATCAACTGAAACATGGCAACTGAGACAGATATTCAAATGACACCAGGTAGAGACATTTGGTTATGAAAACAGTGACATGAGGAGCTGAGTGGGCTGTGTGGTTTTGTTGTAAGTGTGCATCAAAATATTGCGTGACCTTTCAGTTGAGACATTTTGCATGCAGTTTGCATTCCTTTAACATTTCAGACTGTGGGAGGGTGGGATATGTCTCTGTACTGAGGTTGATGTTTGGTATTTACACTCTCCCACACTGATTTTTATTCTGTGCATGCTGTGAAATGTTACCGCATGTCCACCATCTGAAACATGTTATAATTGTTGTTTTTTTATTTGGTGTTCTTATGGTCACATTGCTTGCAGGCCACATACTGGATAGACTGTGCATGTTCTCAGGTTGAATTATCAGGGGCAGCTCTTTCATATTCCAGTTTTCTTTTTAGCAGAAAAACACACCGGCCACTTTATCCTCACCCATGGACATCGCCTGTGTTCTCTGATGCTGTACTAATGACCTGGAAAGGGTTTTTCTCCTCCTCTTGATTGGCAAAATGGCAGCTCCACTGGAAAATCTCTAATAAGCTTTAAGCTGCTGCTCAGTCTGGTGAAGGAAGCCACACACAGCATCCCCGTCATGACTGAAAATCAGCAGCCTATAGCCTCTCGTGTGGATGCATCAATAACAAGGACGGGTGTTTAAAAGTCTGACATTGTAAAATGATGCTTTGCAAACAATCCGGATGGCTTTGTTCTCCACTCACATCATCGCTTGTCCTTACTTGGAATAGAGCAATGTGATTATTCACATGGATGGTAGTGTGTGAGCACTTACGCACGTCGTCTGTATCAACCCGTCTACTGGTTCTCATGCAAGTCTTTTCCTCATTCTTTGGTAACGCTCACCCCTCCCTTATTTTTCTGCCTGTCTGTTTTCTCTGCCTCAAACTGCTGTGCTCCCTCTGTGTTGAGGTATTACCACCCGCGTTTCTATCCCACCTGCTTTGTGGAGAGTGGAGAGAGATTTTCTTGTACTCTCTGCGCTTTAACTTGCAATATGAGAGGAGCTTGCAAATAACTTTCCATGAAAAATTCTTCACAATGTTTACATAGTCTAGATAAAGTAGGCCTACAATTAAAGGCCCATTCTGTAAACGTAGATTTAGATAGATAGATAGATAGATAGATAGATAGATAGATAGATAGATAGATAGATAGATAGATAGATTAGATAGAATTTATTTTTTAATAAAAAAAGGGTGACTTTTTAGAAAGTGGTAGCCTACATACTGGAAAGTCCAATCCTGTGCTTTCATTTTTGCTTTCTTGGAGTTTCCCACTGTACCTTTAAGGGAGTCATTATAATATACCGATATGAGCAGAATAGAAGACAGAAGCCCTTTAATAAGAATGATAAATAATAAATATATAATAATGGAAAGTAGTTAGTTCAGAATACAACAAACTCAATAAAAAAACTGAACAGAACTGAAAATATTAAACAGATTAAATAAAACATGAGACAAATATGTGTATGAATATGAATGTATCTTAAGTTTAGATCATCTTTCACATATAATAGCATATATAACGCAACTTTACTCAGTAAACATTAAAAACAATCACCAGTTGCTTCCTGTTTCTGTTTCTGAGCCGCGCGCGCAGCCGGGCTGTGGAGTGGAGCGCGAGGCAGCCCGCGAGCAACAGCCCGGCAGAGGGAAACATCACGTGGTGACACATCTCTACGACTGACGTCATCGTCCCCATCTCCAAGCAACCCCTCCATCAGCACTCGCGTCACCGTGAGCCCGAGCCGCCTGGTTGCCCGGCAACCTGTGCCTTGCGCTCGGGTCCGGCCTTGCCTTGCACC